AGGATGGCCCTTGAGGACCTACGGGTACCCCCACATAATAGCCCTTGCGAACCCATGGGTACCCCATCGGATAGCCCTTGAGGACCTACGGGTACCCCCACATAATAGCCCTTGAGAACCTATGGGTACCCCCATCGGATAGTCCTTGAGGACCTATGGGTACCCCTATAGGATGGCCCTTGAGGACCTACGGGCACTCTCATAGGATAGCCCTTGGGGACCTACTGGTGCCTCCACATAATAGCCCTTGAGGACCTATGGATACCGCCCTAGGATAGCCCTTGGGGATCTATGGGTACCCCCATAAGATGGCCCTTGGGGACCTACGGCTACCCCCACATAATAACCCTTGAGAACCTATGGGTACCCCCATAGGATAGCCCTTGGGGACCTACGGGTACCTCCACATAATAGCCCTTGGGGATCTATGGATACCCCCATCGGATGGCCCTTGAAAACCTACGGGTACCCCCACATAATAACCCTTGAGGACCTATGTGTACCGCCCTAGGATGGTCCTTGAGGACCTACGGGTACTCCCTCATAATAGCCCTTGGGGATCTATAGATACCCCCATCGGATAGCCCTTGAGGACCTATGGGTACCCCCACATAATAGCCCTTGGGAATCTATGGGTACCCCCACATAATAACCCTTGAGAACCCATGGGTACCCCCATAGGATAGCCCTTGAGGACCGATAGGTACTCCCATAGGATAGCGCTTGGGGATCTATGGGTAGCGTCATAGGATAGCTCTTGAGGACCTATGGGTGCCCCCATAGGATAGCCCTTGAGGACCTATGGGTACCACCCTAGGGTGGCCCTTGAGGACCTATGGGTACCGCCCTAGGATAGCCCTTGGGGACCTATGGGTACCCCCACATAATAGCCCTTGGGGATCTATGGGTCCCCCATAGGAGAGTCCTTGAGGGCCTATAAGTACCCCATACATAGTCCCTGGAGATCTCCCCTTATAGCCTTATGTGACCTTTAACCTTTGACCTTTGACCTTTGACCCTTGACCTTTGACCCGGCACAGACACACACACGCACACACACACACTGAACATTATATATATAGATAAATTTTATATTTATTATTTTATTTTTTTTCGATTTACTGTTTTAAACTACATATTGCTAAATTACTTGCTAATGAAATCCCAATAATTCGACATCTAAATAAAATAAAATGAATGATAAAAATCAAATATGACTGAATATCATATTGAATTTTTTGTCCTGATTTAAATGAATTTAATATTTGTTGAATATCATCATATTTTTCATCAGTTAATTGACTTGATGAAACAATTTCATATTGATTTAATGATGGAATTCGAATAACAAGTAATGAACCAATATTTCGAATAACGGTACATGTTTGAATCGAACCAATAATTGTATTATCAAGAATTGATGGTGGAGAATTTAATGATAAGAAATGTGGTTGTATTGAATAATGAATTAATTTTGTTGTTGGATCAATTGATAGAATTGTTGCTTCCAACTAAAACAAGGAATTTTAATTCGATTTAAATCAGAGAACAAATTACTTCTTGTTCAGGAGAGAAATCATCAATAGAAGTTTTTAAAGTTGGGAAATTTTGTGCATGAATAAAACCTTTAACTTCACCAAATGATACTTCAAGACCATTAACACGAGTCTAAATAATAACTAATTATTAGCAAAATGAATTTCGTTGTTGATCAAAATTACTTTATCGACAGTCACTTTGCATTTAAGACCAGGTAAAAGCATATGAAAAGGTAATTTTGTCGGTGATAATGCCTTTAAAAAACAAGATATATCTTTAGATAGAAATTGTTGAATTAATGTATATACCGGTCGTGGTTTTCTATTATCGATAATATTTCAAAGAATAATACGAGAATTAGTTGTTGATGATTCTTTTATTTGAAATAATCCATGAAAACCAAATTTTAATTGATCTTAAACAAAACAAATAAATAATAAAATTAAACAAAAAATTACAAAAATGTTAAATTACCGATATTTAAATATTTATTTTTTGGTAAAAAACCTTTTCTTTGTGAAAATCCAATATTAATAATAAATCCATGATCAGCAATACTCGATACAACACCAGGTAAAATCTAAAAAATAAATAAAAATGATTTGATCTCAATTTTTTATTTGATTTCATTACCATTCCTTTAACAAGTTTATCGGGTGTAATTTGATCACAAACATCTTTAGGATTAATTGAAAGACGCAAACGTTTTTGTTGATTGATTTTTTCATTATCATTTATTAATTGACTTTCAATAACACGACAAATAACATATTGACCAAGATGAAATAAATTATCTAAACCATCTTCATTATGAGTTGACATTGATGACATTTTTTCTTGAATTAATTCAGTATATTCATCAGATATCATTGTTAATGGAATTTAACCAATATTTTGATGTGGAAGACTAACGCGTAATTCATATGGAGCTATTTTTTCAATACAACCACAGATAAGAACACCATCAGTGAGATTCTATGAAGAAAAAAATCAAGAAGAGTTTTCTATGAAGTTAAAAATTATGAACAAACTTGTTTATGTAATCGTCGATATAATGTTTCATGACGATCTTCACCATCAAGAGATTTTTTCTTTTTTTTCTTTTGTTCTTCTTTGCGTTTTTGTGAATCATGTGAACGTTTTCGTTTGGATGATGTACTAATAAATAAATCATCATGATCAACATGATTATTATGAGATTTTTGTGATTTTATTTCGGTTTTATTTGTTGATGAACCACGAGGAAAATATTCACTTTCCTTTGACATTTTCTTTTTTAAATCTGAAATAAAATGAACAATTTAGATTTTATCTATACAGAACAGAAAATAAATTTATTTAAGACGCAGGCACGTAACCAGAAATTTTCTCAATGAGAGGATTGACTGTTTTAGGAGGATCACCATATAGAAAAACTGTTTTTTGGCTGGTAAAATTTGATCGATCGTACTCCTCTCCAGGTATTTGTATTTTTCATGGGAGAATCGATCCCCCAATCCACCCCTTGGCTACGTCCCTGTTAAGACGACGTTTCTTCATATTTAATGAAACGATCTGATGAACTAAGACGATTCATATAATTAATAACATTTTGAACGTATCTAATACCATCCGGTTTCATTTTACCCATTTGAATTTGACGTTGAAATAATTGTTGCAATAAACGAAATAATCGCTCACGAAGTCCATATATAAATGCACCACGACATATTTTATTCAATTCCTAAATAAAAATATTCACAAATGAGAAAAATTATCTTTTAGAAATTCATTTTATTCAAAGTTAAAGTTCAGTGGAATAATCTGAAGGTCTCATTTGTATATTTCGAATCAGCTTCCGAATGGAACGAACGGAACTCGGAATATGGAAAATACTGGACATGGTTGCTGATAATCGATAAGACATTCTGTAATTAATATTTGACCAATAAAGGATGTATTAAAAAATTCAAGAATATTATACGTCAGAATTCTGCATCAGACTGTTCTATTGATCAAAATTACCAATAGCAACTAGTAGGAGATAGATGGCTTCTCTCGGAGTTTATCTGATGTTGGAAAAATATTTTGTTAACGAAGAACTACTTTAGCAACACCTTCTACCACTCGCAATAGATGTAAAAAGAGAGGATTTCTTTTTTCCATTCTTATAGGTTTCATTATTTGAAAGATGAACTTAAAATCAATAATAATGATATTCACCCTATAGAAAATATTGACTTTATTAGGTAGTTTAGCTGAAGCACTAACAAATTTATTGATATCATTCTATAAAAATTCGATTATTTCATTAATGATTGTTTTTTTTTTAATAAATATGAAACATTTACTTGAAAATTATTTTGACGACACCAGATTAGAAATGTTTCTGTATAACTTCGAGCAAATGGTTTTACTGGCCATGGTTGTTTTTTATATACTAATTCACCATTATTTCCCGGTGGAAATATATGAGCATAAGGTCCAAGACGTTCAAAACTAGAAATCCATGGAATACAATCACCGGGTTCAAATACCGATAGAATAAGTCAACTTGATTTTTTCTTTCGTTCAAATTTTTGACAATGTATTGTACCATACCATTGATCATTGACAGAAATTAATGCAGCTGATATTTCTTTTTTTAATGATATTAGTAAAAGATAATAGGAATTATTTGCTGCATTGGATTTTTTCTGATTAGTTAATGAAAAACTTGTGGTTGTTGTTGGCGATGATGATAATACAACAGCAGATTTTTTTGTAGCAAACATTGGCATTGCTGATTGTGGTCGAGTATAACATTGAATTGGTAGATGTATATGTTTAGATGTTGCCCTAGCACTATGTATTGATGATAATTCAATAAAGCTATTTACTGTTAAAGTATTTGATGGATGAAATATTTCACCTGTTGTATGTCTAAATAAAATAATTTTAAAAACAATTTGTTGATATTCAATTGAAAATATTAAATTACAATACAGCGGGTTTAATTGTTGAATAAACAGTAAGTTGAGATTCATAATGATCACATTTAAGTGTTGAGATGAAAATGTGTAACATATCAGCTTTGATTTGAGTGATTACATCTTGAATCATTTCATTTGTAATTATTGTATTATTCTCTTTTTCACGATTTATTAACCAGTAAATTTTTGATAAAGAACATTGAGCTTGTTCACTGATATTTTCTAATCGTGCTCGATCGGTTCCTGATGGTTTTCGTATACATACAAATGATACTTCAGTATGTGAATTAGATGATGATATTTTTTCTTGTTCATCATTTATTATTTGTTTACGTAAATCTATATCCATTGCATTATTATTATTATTATTATTTTCTATAGTCAAATTATCATCACGATGAGAACTATCTGTAAAAACCAAAATCTAAATGTTAAAGTTTTTTTAAAATCGAAGTTAATTTTCAGAAGAAAACGTTATGAAACAGACTTTTTGTGAACGTTGTGTACCGAATGTTGTTGTTAGAAATTTTTTAGCAAAATCAATCGCTGGTTATAAAGAAAAATCGCCGAAAATAGGTAATTTTTGAACAGATTTAATAATATTCTCTGTCTTCTTTGTAAAATGTTGCGTAATTTTAATTGTACCTGGACCAGAAAAGAGTACCTTGAATAAGATAGGAGAAAAATAATTAGATTTAATGAAATAAAAGATAAACTCACAAGAGCAATTGTTTCAAGTTTTGTTAAACTATTAGTATTAGTCATTAATGATTCGATCATTTTTGCAACTAAACTACGTTTTTCGATATTTATCGTTGTTGTCATATTATCCCATTGACTTATAACATATGAGAAACGTTCTGCCATACCCAATGAACAATCGATTAGAAACACCGTAGGCATCTTTTAATCTGAAAAAAAATCAAATTTCTTTTAACTATCTATCTACTTATTGTACACTTTTGTCTTATTGGGTAGAAAACAGTATAGAAGTTCTACCAATAAACAGACTTATATCCATAGATCAAGTTTTTCGAGAGAGGTTCTTAATGAACGATATATATAAAATCTATCAATTTTGGGAATTATGAACGTTTGATTATCAAAATTGCCTAAACTACATGGAAATGTAACGTACGATGCAAAAGTAATGGCACCAAATGTTGATCAGTATTTCACTTCAATAGAAAGACGCTGAAAGAAAATTTTTTTACCAAAACATAGCGCTTTTTCTTCTCTTTCGAATGGTATATCATTTATTGTTATACTACGCCTACAAATGAAACAACATAATAAAGAAGAAAGACACCTTTCAAAAGCTTCCATACTTTTTGTTAAAATGTGGCACAAAACGTCGATCTTTATATCCCTTCGGTAGATACGTGCAGAAAAAATGTTTTGGTATCATTTAATAGGAAATTTCTCCTCTTTCGAATGATGTATGACTTTCATTTAATACATGCTTATATATGAAATGAGACAAGAAATAAGGAGAATCACTCACACAGTGAATTTGCAATTTTTGTACAAACTCGTCAAAAAACATCTTGTAGATGACAATTACTTATAATTAACTGCTATATGGAAGATGCTTTTAAGCACTTCGAAAAAGTTTATGTAGTCACGCTTTAGAAGAGCTTTTTAAAGAGTATAAAAAATCGAATTAAGGCCTTCCCCCTCAAAAAAAGTTCGTTTTCATCAAAATCGTCAAAATTGAGATAAATGCATGGGAAGATAGCCCGTCTTCTGCTCTTTCAGAAACACTATTATTTTTTCTTTGACACCTCCTTTTTGGTCAAAATTTTCGATGATCTTCGTTAACCTCTTCTTGAAAAATCTTCTTATTTTAAAAAAAAACGAAAAATATTTTTCGTTTTTTCTCAGTTTATGCTTTCTTCATCGCGCAATCCATTTTTCTCTGTTCGGGCTCTTTTAATCTATTTATATATTTTTTTTGTTTGAAAGAGCACATCAAGATGCAGTGCAGTATAGAGTCCTTTTTTAAATTAAGCTTGTTTTTATTAAATATACAACCACTTATATAAATAGACCACCATTTTTAGGGGTTTTTTGAGTCATTGAGCTTGTCAGCCCTTTTCTCTGCTTAAAAGGTAATAATTTTAAAAAAAAGGACTCTGTACTGCACTGCATCCTGACATGCTCTTTCAAACAAAAAAAATTTAAATATATTGAAAGAGCCTGGACAGAGAAAAATGCATTGCCAAATGAGCTATTTTTGACCCTTGTTTGGTTCATATCTCTGATGAACGATTTGATACCGAGCTGAAAATTTTACCATAGCCTCATCACTTCAACCCCAACATACCCTGAAAATTTTGGCCCATTTGAATGTACCTGGGCCGAGATCGACTTTTGAGGGGGAAGGCCTTAATCATTGTCCATCGAGATACTATCGACGATTCCATATTGAAACCGATAAATTAATTAGGCGAGTGTTTCTCTTTCTTTTTGTCTCATTTCATTTATAATCATGTATTAAATGAAAGTCATACATCATTCGAAAGAGGAGAAAATTTCCTATCAAATGGTACCAAAATTTTCTTTTTGAAACATGGTTATCGAAGAATTATTCAAGAAACATACAAGCCCACATTTTGTGCCGTTTTTCTAAATTTCCCAAAAAGTATGGAAACTTTTAAAGAGCGTCTCTCTTCTTTGTTATGTTGTTTCATTTGTAGATGTAGTATAACAATAAATGATATACCATTCGGAAGAGAAGAAAAAGCGCTATGTTTTGGTAAAAAAATTTTCTTTCAGCGTCTTTCTATCGAAGTGAAATACTGATCAACATTTTGTGCCATTACTTTTGCATCGTACGTTACATAATCATCTGGAATTTATTGAACTATGAAATTGAAAAAAAAAAGCGTTCATTGAGTGAGTTACTTAGCTTTCGTCTCAGTCCCTTTCGAACTCCAGACGTGCTAAGGCGTTCGAAAATGAATTTTTGTCCTTAAAGATCTACACCAGTAGTTCGTAAACATCTTTGTACAAGAGATCGTAATGACAAAGCTGGAAAATCGGAATGGTTCCACCAGATGTTTGGAATAGAATGCTCTTGCTCTATCTGTTCTAACATCTGGATAGCGTCGCGAACAAGTTCAAATGTTCTGAATGGAGGTCTACGGGTACTTTTTACAGAGACATACCGGAAGAATGGAATGACATCGACAGGAAGTTCGTAAAAGAATTTACTAGAAGATTGTAATTAATGTAAAGACTTTCTGTTATTATAGACAATAATAGTTTCCATTTATTGATTACATCCATGATTACATAAGTACGAATTATTTTTTCTCTATCTCTACCTTCTCTACTTTAGTAACTATAAAAATTGTTTCTAAGTTTCATGTTTTAATCTATTTCTATTTGTAATCCCACTACATCAACTAATGCTAAACTAGTTAAAGGTACAAATGGTGGTGTAAGAAATAAACGTATAAAAAATAAATATTCGAAAATTTGCTCTGTACATTTCGTTATTTTTCTTATAGTATTAGGCTCTATATTTTCTAAAGATTAAATTGAAAATAAAAAAAAACAAATATTTGTTCTTCTTTTTTGTTTATTATATTACTTCAATCTATGTTTCTCTACTTCTCATTTATTCTTTTTCGCTGCATTGAAAAAAAAGAACAGATCCATTTTGTACCGATTATATTGAAAAAGAAAAAGTCCACTGTAGTTTTGCATTTTGTTAAGGGTGATGGTGTACCTGTTCCTGGCTGTTAGAAGAAGGAATTATGTATGGTAATGATGTACATTCACACTATACTTATAAATAAATATTTCTTTTCTTTCGAAACTTTTTCATTCCGACCTACCCATCTCTGTCGTTACAATCTTCCCGACATTCTCATTCTGATCTCCAGTTAAAACCTTGCTATTCAATCACCAACAAGCGATTGTCAGAGGTCATTACGAACTTCTGGTCAAGTTTCATTCCAAACATCATGCTTTTTATTATCTTTCATTGACTTTTACCATTACAAACTCCATTCCAATTATCTTATGTTTTTCCTTATATTCGGAGATCATAAGGAACTACTTTAACTGCAGTTCATAATAAAAATTGAGACAAAAACAAATTTTTCCATAATCACATCAATATTTTATTTCTTCATTCATTCATTAAATAACAATCTAATTTTTTTTACTCCTATATTTAAATGAACACATGTATTTATTATGCTTGTTTGATTCACGTTTGAAAAACAAAAGTTCACCAAGAAAATAGTTCACATTCACGTACATTAGTTATATTATTGCTTTTGATCTTTTACATGCTTGATATAATGAGCTCGTGGAAAAAATTTTTGAATAGCATCTATTGATTCATAGGATGGATTGGATGTGTGTATTATTCCCAATCTAGAACAATTGTCACTTGTTCGTTGTTGGTTTTGACCAATTATTGTGAACAATATATCTTTGTCAATAGCGAGTTCGATTAGAGAAGAAAGATGAATTTCATAAAGAAATAGTTCAGCATAATCCATGTGGATATCGTATAAAATTAGTACAGTTAAATGAGTAAAGACAATGTTAGTTTTCGTTGCTACCGTTTTTTCTCGTTGTTCAAGCGGATTAATTATCTCGAGTGTTCGAAGCCGAGGTAGAGCTCGGGCGAGACGTTCAAAGAAAACATTTTCGAAAGGTTTGACATCATCAAAAAGTAATAAGATAGTAACATTTGAGAAAGTATTATTATTATCAAAGAGTGGAAATTGATTTGAGACAAAATCAAGACGAGTACCAATAAATGGACGTGAATAGATTTGATATTGCATATAGTTATTCCTGAAATGATCGATTACATAATCAAATGATTGTTGCGGTTTTACAAAACTTTGACGAATTTGATCAATTGTTGTATGAGAAACATTTTTTAATATGTAACGAATATGAAAATTAAATTGACGTAAACGAGGCATGTATCGAAGAATATTTTCTTCTAAGAAAAACCCATCAATAAAATGATCGGGTGTAGTATCTGTTTTGTCTATAGCTAATAATAATGTTAAATATTCGACATTCGATAATCGTTGTAGAAGGGAAATACATGCATCATAGTTCTTAAAATTACGATACATTGTTATCGTCATTTGTTTTAAATTAGGACACGAGATCTAAATGAGTAAATTCATTGAAATACCAAATCGAAAAATATTACTTACCGATCTAATATCAGAGATTAACCAATGTTGATGTTCAGTAAGCGTTCCTATAGTAACTGTGAATGAATCAAGTTGTGAACCCAATTGAATTAGTAAATGGACACATTGGTTGAAAGTCCAAAAAGATATACGAATATGAGTCAGTCGAATTGCTTGAGGGAAGTAGAATTCATCATCGTTAAGTGCTCCAGTTAACATACAGTTATCATCAAGTTCCAACGATTGAACAAAACGCATAAGTGATGAACGAAACAAGGTAGATAGTTCTTTACCAAGACCATGATTAGGCAGTAGAAAAAACTGAGGTACGATTGAAAAGAGAGGTTTGCGCATTTCAGGGTAGCACATGTGGTAGTTTACTAAAATAAATGTATATGATCGTCATGATATAATATTTATCAATGTAGTCATTTTGGATAGTGATCACAGAATAAATCATAAAGGCTTTTCTATCTTTTTTTTCAGCTATATTTATTGAGGAAAAAACTTTGATATGTTAAAAATAGTCAATGAATTTCTTTTGTCTAAAATATCAATAAGGGATTTTGAAATTCTTCAATGATAAAACTTTCCTTCTTTTCTCACCTAGAAAATAACCTAACACGATATATAAAGATAGTTTTAAAAAAAATCCGATCAATCATTATTTACTTATTGTATAAGGTATGCCTGTTTTAGAATGTTTAGCACCCAGCATAATTTTCAAATGTGTCAGATTTGGAAGAATTTCATTGAAATTATTTTCAAGAAAAGTTTTAATAGACGCAATATGATGAAGATTGATTGTTAGTGATTGAACATCATGGCTGATACGAGGCATAACATGAGAATAAAATCGTTTCATAAATAATTCATGTGGCGCACGAAGGTAATCAAAAGTTAAATCGATTGAATGACATCTATCGAATGCAAGTTGTTCCAAACGATTATTACCAATATCGATCATAGAACAAAGCAATAAGACTTGAGGATTAACCTTCTTCATAATAGCTAATATTAATTCATCAGGTAAATCCAGCAATTGAACAGTATCTTCAATGCAGAAAAATCGCAAAATTAATCATATTGTAAAATAGATACATACTCATATTTGTTAAACTATTTATTGTTGATGTGTTGTGTTCGTCCACATTAAAATTGACAACATATATATATATATATATATATATATATATATATGAAGAGTTAAAGGTCAAGCAGACTGAAAAAATTAACGCTGAATTAAGAAATGTGATTGGTGTTGCCATTTGGAAACATCAAACACATTTCTTAATTCAGCGTTAATTTTCTTAGTCAGTCTGTCTATTTGACCCTTTGTGCTTGATCAACATCATTGTCTAAATGAGAACCAATCATTGATGATCAACTACTATATATAAGAAAGGAAAGGAAAAGTGCTTTACAAAAAAAGAAAGATGTAAATGAACCAATAATATGGATAGTATGGACGCTCAGCCGAAAAAACAGCTCAAATAAGTGAAACAATAGCAAATGCTCTATGATTGGTTGTTTTTTCTGGAAGGGGCTAGTTATAAGATTGGTATCCGTAGATAGAGAAAATTTTTCTCCATCGAACTGTGTATTTAGTTTTAAAAAAAAAGAGACAGTACCATGAAATCATCAAAATACTCTGACCAATCCTAACACAGATCATTTATAATGACGTTATTATTGAGACGGCATGGCCAAAAAGTTTGTTTGAGTTTCTCAATTTTTTAGTCAAATCGAGCTCTTCCATTATTAGTCGATGCGCTGAATTGATTGGAAAGTGCCACAGAACTCAATTCTCTCTACTTACGAAGTTTCAGTAAGTGCATTTCGTTGCCATAGGATACCATATTTTGTTAGGCAGATATCTTAAAAACCGTTCTTGGGCTAGAGAAACGGACTTCACCACTTTTTATAGACCTAGTACGGGAATGTACTATGTTAATAGTATCTTCCAAAAATGAGTCTAGACATGTGGCGCCCCCCAAAGTGCATTATTTGATATTGATTTGATGAGTCATCGGGCTGAGCATTCATATATACTATATATGAGGACTATAAATAATTTGCTTCGATATACTGATTGGTCCGTTGTAGTACAATGATATTTACTATGAGTTCCTTCATAGAACAAAGAAAATACGATGCTTTTTTTTAAAACGATTTCTAGATAAATAACGTAATTAGTAATTGTTGAAAATGTCAAAACATAAGCAATGATTCATGCACGCTTTCTATATATATAAATTCGAGAAAAATTAATGCGAATTGAATTATATATGTTAGGTAATGGATTTTTTGCAACAATAATATATTATTAGCTTCAAAACTTTTTTCTCACAATCTACTTTCGTGATTTAAATTTAATGTTCTAACTTATTTAACTTTGTTTCAAATATTTTTTTTGTTGTTGACAGAGTAAACTTTGCATACATGTGACGAAATAAAGTAAAGATATTTTTTCTCGTAAAATTTAATTTAAACAGAAATATATACAATAAGGTGTGAGTTTTTGGTTCATCTACAAAGCCATACATTCTATTGTCTAGGGATTCGTTGTATTCTTCACTTTTTCTTCTGGAGAAGTGTTTCTTTTTTTTTTTTTGATTTTGGGACAATTATCAATTTAGTTTGCGTTTTGTTTCAACAAGCAAGTTGCTGCAAATATTCTAGACTAAGAAATTATTTTTCCACAGTTACAGTTTATTGTCTGTCTCTTCTGAATAGATCAATCAATCTCATTCACATTTTTCTAGCTAATAATTGTCATTGATATCTACTTTTAAGAATCATCAGGATCATAAACTCGATCATTCGATTTTATTGTAATATAAGATTACCTGATTTTCTCCAATATGTCATTTCTTGAACTCTTGCAAAGACATTCTTTCTCAAGCATTGGCCATCGACGAAATTCAGAAACTCTAAGATATTATCAGTTAAATCTTCTAATCTTAAATAAATATATTTCTCCTGAATAATTGAAAATTCAGATAAAATTAGAATTGACTTGGATCACAAATATTCACTCTATTCGTTAATTAACCTTAAGAAAATCTTATATTTTGTGTTTGGATATTTGAAATATAAATTTTTCAAAAGTTATTCAAAAGAAAAAGAAAACTTTGCAAGGTCACAATCTTTAAAATGATGATGCTGAAATCTTGTAGAACCCTGGTAGAAGTAGTTAATAGTTATGTCATTGATTGTTTTAAAAACTATGCATTGAAAATAAAAACAAAAAAACATGTCTGTTAACTCCTACTCAAGTATTCGCTAGTCAAAGAAATATTTGAATCATTAGCCTTAATAGTTATTTCCATACAATGTAGTATTTATACGTCAATTTTTTGATTGCTAGTAAATTTATCAATAAAAATCTTGAACAAACTGTTAATATTCTTCTGAAAAATCATGATTTTTATAAATTTACTTATGCGCTCATATAAAAAAATGTGTTTTTTCTTAGCTACTGTTTCCTCGTACATTGAGATAAGTCCAGTGAATGATAAAGTTAATTTCATCAACTGTTGTCTTTTAAAGAAGACTCATGGTTCCACAGACTATGCATGCCTTTTTCTTTTCATATCGAATATAATTGTTGTTGCTCTTTTCAAGGAACTATTGCCTTTAGTCAATTAATTTTTGGTTAAAGAAAAGCATCAAATTTTGATAGTATTTGATATTAATATTTTCGAAGTAAATCATCAGTGGAGACGAAAGTTAGGAGATTTACAAAACTTTCACTTTGATCTGATTATCTATAGATGACTGAATCAATTTGTTTGATCTGCCTCCTCTATTTCTTTTTTCGTAGATCTTTTAAAGTTCTACAAAAGATATCTTTTTCTCTATTGCATTCATATTATCAATTTTGAGTGAATAATTTCATCTTATATTTTTGAGAAAAATTCTTTCTCATAACATCAGTATGTCTTTCACCTCTGCAAGTGTTTTATAGGAGACTTATCATTTCAATGGAATAATATTGATTTATCTAGCATCTTCTATTGAATTTTAAAAAGAACACTAAGATAATTTTAATTAAAGCTGCAAAAATCGTCAAAAACTATATCCAAGCAAGTAGGATATGAGACAACAAAATTTCAAAACAGGAAACTTTTCAAACATAAGATTGTCAATATAAATACCTTTAGGAATATAGAGACTGTTACAAAATTAAAATCATAATCATCTAATATAATGAATATTATTCCATTGAAACGATAAATTTTGTATTAAATCTATTCAGATAAAAACACATAAAGCTGTTATGAAAAAAATTCTTCTCAATGAAATGTAAGATGAAATTAGTCATTGGAGATTAGTACGATAGGAAAATAACATTGGATTAGATTGATGCATTCTACAAAATTATATATTTCAATCAATGAACAGTTTATAAATTCATTGTCTTCTTAGATTAACTTGTCATATATGTTTATCTACATCAAAATGGCAATGAGACAAATGCTTGTAAGGTTTCTTACATCAAACTATCAGCTGTAACTGAGAGTTTCTACACTGAAAAAACTGATTTTGGTGTGGGTGAGTTTGGATGAGGTCAGAAAGAAGAGATTCACCCACATCCCACAAAAAAGCTTGTCAAACTCGTGAGAATATGCGTAGGACACATCTGAAATTCATTTTTCTTTGACACCCGTGCGGAAGATGCAAGAACAAAACTAAATGGTAATTAACAGCAGGTAATTTCTTTATACAGTTATAAATGACTTAGTATTCTAGTGACCATTGATATTTCGTATCTTATATGCATATGCACGTTAATTATCGTTCTGTATAAATTAACTTTATCCATGAAAGAGTCTCGAAGATTTACTATATATACAAAATAAAAAGAACAATAATGTTCTAATAAAGGAATATGCAATTGATATTCGTTATCAATCAGTGTTCAACTTCATTTATTAATATAGATAAATTAGATTTAAAAAAATAACTATGAACATATATGAGAATTATGAAAATTCTACAGTCAGGCGTCTTTTCTACTCGTGCTTAGTTTGAGTGGAGGTCTAGTTTAAATATGTTACTGTTATTAAACAATGAAATGTTATAATAAGTTTTAACTTTTAAAATATTAATATATAAGGATAAATTTGAAATAATATAATTATTTATTGTAAGAATATTCAAAAATAGAATACATTTCAAGTTGTTTATTTTCGGTCAGTTATATGTGAGAAAGGAAATAGAACAAGATGATAAAGGGAAGAGGAATTAAAATAGCGTTTGATATCAAAATGTAACTGGAAATAAATTGATTATTAATAATAAAAAAAATATCTTTTGGTCAAATATTAGTGTTATTGTTTTCATGTAGGAGTAATTTTTGTATACATTCTAGTGTACAACTAGCAAAGAATCTTAGTATAATTTAATATCAAACACAGAAGATCTTTTCATCTGATTTAACTTACGAAACAAAATTTAAAAAGTTTTGCTTTATTCATGTTGAAAATTTCTTATAATTCTTTCACAAAAACAAGTAAGTACAAAGAAATAAAGAAATATTAGCAGTTTCATTTTATTATAATCATGCAAAAAAGTGTATCCTCATCTATTGTGTTACGAATTTCTGTTCGAAAAGAATGAGTATTTAAACTTTGCAGATCATACAATTGTTTCTCATAAAGTTGTTTATATTCATCTTCGCCATTAATAGTAAGAAATTTTAATTTCGGAAGATCGTTGATAAGTAAATGTGATACTTCAATGACTTGCAAATGAGGACGTCGCTCGACAATTAAATAGGCAATGTTTACCAAATTTGGTTGTCACGAAATAGGAAAAAGATTGAGTTATCGTAAGCCATTTGACATGAGCATTCTGCACAAAGAAATATTGTCGAATAGATAGATTAAATTTTCCTCTTTCAAATAACGTTTAGTATCATATTCTAATCTATAATGCAGTTCCAGAGTATGTAGATTAGTCGTTTGCAAAAAGACAAAGATGAGTTGAATTGAATGGTTGAGTATTATACTAAGTGATTTTATTTGATGCCAAACAACGATAGATGGTGATAAAGAAAGAAATTCATCGTTGATATGATCATAATAGTCACTGATAACAATCCTATTGCAACGAAACAACTTATTATTGAAGTTATGACCTTTATATGGTCATCGACTTCTTCTAAATTAAACAAAAAAAAAACTTTCTATATATACCCATGCACAGTTTTATGTAGATAAGAATAGACACATAAATATTCATCGCTTCTTGATACTGTTACAGCTCTAATAGGGTGTATATGTGGGTGTTCAACAAAAAAAAGACACTCATACCCACACCCAGCTCTTCTACTCACAACTATCGTTGGTGCTGCAGCTGTGGATGACTTATTTGGCTTACTTGTCGTAGATAACGATGTGCCACTAGCATATGGTTTAAAATTTTTCTTGTCCATTTTAATGATAATGAGGATGATAGTGATGACCTTCTGATTCTTTTTTAATTTGCGTAAATGAATGGAAGCATGGATATTTGTTGCACCCTTTATGAATCAGCAGAACAAAAACATTTCGTCTCTATCTTGGGTGTGAGTGAAAGAAATAGCAACACACAGGCCTAGATGCAGATTTACACCCACACTCACATCCTGAGTGCGCGTTGAGGTGGCTCTCTTCAGTGTCATCTCACCTCCACACCCCATACCCATATCCACATCCAATGTCAATCATTTTGTTTTTTTTGATTATTTTAGAATAAAAAAAAGCTAAAATGTCAAATAAAGATGATGAATCAATTGAAATGTTATATTCAAAATCATGTCTTGATTTAAATATGGATATAGAAACAAAGTTAGATCCATGGCGTTCATATGAACATATTCGTAAACATTATGTTTTAGAAGGTGATCAATTACATTGGTTAACTATTTCATTATATGTATCATGTAGAAGATATAAACATCTAACAACAAATCAGAATAATCTCTTATCAATATCACGTTTATTAAAAAGTGCTAATCATTTAGAATTATTTATTTTTTTTTGATAAATTACATAAATGGAAAGATATGGCCAATTTACCTGATTTAGTTCGATCAGAAATCGATCAAGTGTTGGACATGTTTTTAATATATCATCAATTATATTTGAAAAATATAGAAAAATATTTATTGAAATATTTGGTGGAAATCAATATAAATTAATTTATCCATCAACTATCAATGATCTGATTGCTTCATTTCATTTACTTATTTCTAGTTTTTTCTTTTATTTATGATTATGTCAAATTAGCCAAATTAGATTATATACTTAAACGTAACATTCTATTAGAAGATTTTATTTATATATATATCATTTTAATCGACTTTATTATGAACATATCATTTTTTTATTTTAGTTTTTTTCAATTAAAAATTTTCTTTTTCACTTCTTATCAAATGAAGATTTCTTAAGAGATTTTTTTTTGTTTATTTTATTTAAAAGTCTTTGAAATAAGATCTGAAACAAATTCAATTTTCGATTGTTCGATATAGAATTAAATTTAATTAAATATTTTATTTCGAGATTTATCAATATATATGATTAAATAAAAATCATTTCAAATATTTTTTTTTATTGAATATATATATATCGATAACTTAGAAAAAAAAAACCTATTTTCTTGTCAATATGATTATTAATTGATAAAAACGTAAATAATCGAATATGATTAACGATTATTTCAAATCATGTTTAAAAATTTAATCGTTTAAACGATATTATACTTATAACTATGAACAATCGATTAATAATCATTTATAAATAATATAATTATAAATAGGATTTACAAATAATGATTATATTCATATATAAATATATATTCTTGATATACGATAGAAATATAAATATCTATTAAATCTTCTGAGAATTTTCATCAATTATATTCATATTAGAAATTATATTTCATCATATTAAACGAGTTATTCAATCTATTCTACTTGTTTTTTCTTAATTAAACTATGGAAAATGTTTCGTTGAAAAGATGATTGATTAACTGTAGAGTTTCATAAGTCGAATATCTATTGTTCGAGTTGTTTATTATGTTAGAAATCGATATTTGTTGTCAACAAAATCAAACTAATTTGAATTATTTATTCAAAACGAATAAATAAATAATAATGGAAATAATTTAATTAAACTAAATCTAATAAATTGAATAAAAAGATATTAAAAAAAACAAAGAAAAGTGTTGTTTTTTTTGTTAAAGTTGTTGTTTAAATGATTTATGTTCAAATGATGGAAGTATAATCGATAAATTATGTATGATGTATTGTCGTTCATCGGATATGTGTCGATCAATAATCGAATAACATTTAAAAAATGATTTATTTAAACGTCTTGATAAAAAATGAAGATTTTTTTTCAATGAATTTAATTATTTGGAAACAATTCATGATGTAAATCGTCAATATGATGAAATTGTTTTAACAAATTGTATAATTGATGAAGGAATTTTTTTAGAAAATAAATTTCAATTAAATGACTTCTGTAACTCATTAAATGAAAATCAATATTCAAAATCTTCTCAAAATCTAACATCATTAACAGCAAATCAACATATTACATCGAATGATTATCAAACAATTTCTTTTAATCAATATTTAACATCCATATATCAAGCTAATCAATTAATTAAATTATTATATTCAATTGTTCAACAACAACAAACTTTTTTAGATTAAATTTTTTTTCTTTTTCTTTTTTTTATCATATCGAACATAAAATAGATTTTTTTTTCTTTCTCAAACCTTCATCACGTTTTTTTCATCATAAGATTTTCTTAATCGAACTTTTAACTTTATCTTTTGCGTTTTTCCTCGTTCATACATTGAAAATAAAAAGCCTTTCGACAATTGAAACTAATTCGAAACCTATTTCAATTTGTCAATGTCCCCTTTTTGATTAGTATAGCAGCGACTAGCTCTAGAAGTCAACTATGATTAGTTTACTTTCGGTAATAGACAGAGAACAGTACTTAGCTAAATGTTACGTTAGAATCTATGATAAGAGAACCGTCAGATTTGTTTTACTCATATTGATTTGTATAGGAAAGAGACAATAAACCTGATTAATAATCAGATTTGAACTATATTTTAATAATAATTATGTGTTGAGAGTTGATCGATATAGAATTGATATTATAGATTGGGATTAGATGTAAATCAAATAAATAGTTTGCAATAAAATGAACAAGAGACTTACAAGAGAAAAAAAAATTCTATTAGAAATCGAGAGATAAATCCGATAGATAATTTTCGTGACAATCGATAATCAGAGATAAATAAATGAACTCGTTAAAAGATAATTCAATTAATCAATTTCAGATTTTTATTATTTCAACTAATAAAAAATATTCTCAAATTAATATTTTAGACAGAGACAATTATCATCACTATCTTTTTTTTTTATTAACTTAAACAAATAAATATTTATTTATATTTATATCACACATTCTTTTTGTTTTTAAATATAATTTTTGATAAAGAAAAATAATTAAATTAAGAAAGGAATTTTTGTTTCTGGTTAAAGATGTTTTTTCGTTAAATGAGAATATATTGAATTAAATATCTGTATGATATTGACATTTATTTAAAATGATCGTTGAATGATATATAAGATTTAAAATTTTATCTAAAGACTTTTAAAAAAAGAACGAACTTAGATTTTGACTTTTTTAAGATTATTTTTTGTTTTCTTTTATTATGAAACAAATCGTTGAATAAAATAAATATTTTCTCTCGATTAAAATATTATTTTCATTTCGAAATATTTTAAATCGAATCGAATTGATTTATGATGAGTTTTTTTTATTTTGAACATTTTCTTAACTTAAAATAATATTCGATATATATATATATACGACTTTATTTTATCGAACATTTTTTAATAATAATCAGTAAGTATATAAAAATGAATTTTATTTTAATTAAAATAAAGATAATAGAGATAATTAAATTTGATTTTTTCATGAGAATAAAATGAAAATTAGAGTTATTTAATTAATTAATATAATATATTATTTAATAACGTGTCAGTTAGAGAACTAATGTTCGATTTGATAAAAAGAATAAAATAAAATTTGTTTATTAAAAATTTAGATGATCTTGTTGAACGTTTAAATGAATGTGAATATTCATTTAATAGTCAATATGATTTAATAGAAAATGTTAATAAAATAAATCGAAAAGAAAATCCATCTGGATCATTTAAATCACGTTTTGATTTATCATTAAAATTATTTTATTATTCTATTGAAAATATCTTAACTATTGGAGAAAAAAACAGATTAATTTCAAATGAATTTAATTCACTACAAATTCAACAATCATTTCAATAAACGATTTTTCTTTTAAATGGATAAATAAATAAATAAATTGATTTATTTTAGTAAATTAATATTAAATAATTATTAGTATTATATGCTCATTCGGATAAATATCATGATTTTAATTGGATATTACATGTTTATTGATTAGATGAGTATTCCTTTTTTAAAATCATACAAATTGTTTTTTAAAAACTTGTACACAAATAAGTAAATCAAAATCATTTATTAAATATTTATCATCAATGACTTTTTCAACAAAATCCTCATTATGGAATGATATTGAATTAAAAAGTATTTTATCATATAAAACAATATCATCAATTCAATCAAATATAAATAATTCCTTATCACCAATAAATAATTTAACTCCAATGTTTATTCAATCATCAAATATAACAAATGTATCAAGAAAATTATTTCAATCGAATACAACAGATCAATTTACAGTAAAATTTATTATTTGATTTATTTAATACAATGTTATACATATATATTTATCTTTTTTCACTAATTTCAAATAGTCATAACAATGAATATGATTTATTTTAATTGAAAAAAAAAATTTTTTTCCAAATTTTCATTAACGAAAATTTTTATTTTCAAAGAATTTTGTTCATAAATATTTAAAAACCATGAAATATTTAGTCCGATCTAGTAACAAGAAAAATTGGTCCCTTAGAATATTTTGTTTTTCTTTTTTTCTATATTTATCATAAAAAAAAACAATGAGAAATCATTTGATAATATATATTATCGATTTAAAAAGAATTTATTTCTTTTTCATAATCGAGCTCGACGAAAATAAACTCATCTGAAATTCTATGAAATATGATAATTGACATCGACCTTTTCTAAAAGCTTGTCAAATAATGAAAATAATTCGATAAATAATAGAGTAAGGTGGGGTAAATTCATTAGGTTTTCAGTAGTGTCTTCTTTTTTCTCTTATAACTTTTCTATTTTTCATCGGATAAAAACATTTTCGCTACCAACTATGTAGAGCAGAAAAAGCTCTATAAGACTATGTTTTTAGTTTTTCACAATACTTTTTAGGAGTGGATCTACGCCGGTTTTCAGAAGACCACCTCTTCAATCTTTGGTTTACCTCTGTTTGGGGTAAATCAATCATTATGCTTATCTATTGGGGTAAATCAATTACTAAAGCTAATTTTGTCTAGTTTTACTTAAGTCATAAAAAACGTTATTTTTAAAGACTCTGTAAATACAAGTTCGAAAGTTTTTAGATTGTTTGAAGACCTAAATATTTCTCTACATTTCCAAAGTAATTTCAATTATTCTAGTTAAAAAGCAAATACACACAAATTAAATTGCCGAGAGCACTCAAAAAAAAATTTTCATTGATTTACCTCATATGGGGTAAATCAATTATTCCAGTTATTTTAGCTGGGCTAGACATAATGCAACTTTTAAGAGATCTGTACGATATCTTGAGGCGTTCTTGATAGAAAAAGTTTTATCACGTCGAGACCTATCAGGTAGAAGAATTTCCATTAATTATGTAAATGCAGAATTCTCATAGCCAAGATTACTCATGAATAAAGAGTGAACATATTAGTTCTATTTTGAAATATTTATCAAATTATATTCTAGTTTCATACACGATTGACAGCAATATCAAACCAGAATACTAGAACTTCACTAATGAGCATCACAATAACCGCATCATTTCTGCTATTATCGATGGAGATTTTCTTGTTTGAAGAAAAGCAATCGCTTGTAATATGTTGAAATAGCACTGTCAATTAGTCTTTTGTTCTATGCTCTTTATGAATAATACGTCAGTTAGTCCATTCAATAGCTGTATTGATGTTCATTCTCTTTTAATTGTATATATATACGTCAATGAGTTCGTGGTGAGTGAACAAATTATAGGTGTGGTAGCTCGGTTAACTAGAAACTCATAAGTCATTTATTTATCAATTGTTTGCTACTGAAAAAAGTTAAACTAGCAGGTAAACATAGTACTGTAAATGGTGTAAATAATTTGTTTTTTAAAATAAAACTATTGTACATTTCATTAATAAAAGTCATTTTATTGTATCGAACGATATACATTCATGCTGTCAAAATATATGTAAAACTGAACCAAAACATTTTAATGAAGACTTACTTAAAACTCTAAATACAACCAATCATGAAAACATTTTACCTATCATTGCTGGAAAGCGGTTTAGGAGTCCTCCATTAGCCATATACAGTTACTTATCAGATCGGTATCAAGGTGGTGGGCGTTGAGAGAAAACTTTTATCAAAAGAAGAAGGAAGCTTTCTCACTCACGTTATTCGAACATTTCAAGACTGGCAACAACTAATGACTTCATTGTCTGTCAAGGATATTGCACAAAATCACATGCTGGGACTTGGTCGCAACGTCTCTCTTACTTCGTCTCTATATAATGAATAATTCAGAATCAAAACTATCTCAGCAGAGTTTCGTAATATACTTCTACTTATAATACTCTTCGCATTAAACTTAAGTATCAAAATTCTAATACCATAAAAAGATACAAGAAGAGGCTTTTGATAGTCAGATCTTTTAATGAAACTTCAATCTATGGTATTGCAAGAAAAGATGTAGCCGAAAAACGTGATACCAAGTCAAAGTTATTATTCTCTCGTCTCAGATACATTTTTAGTGATTAGTGATACTGCAAGTCTTGGATTCTAACCAATGCGATATTACTATTGACAGCAAGTAACTCTTATAATGAAACGCATTAGCTTCAGCTTTAGTATTAGATTCCATTTCTATATACCCCTCAATTACAGATCATCCAACGAATAAAACCGTTGCTAAATTCTACGAAAATAAGTCAGTATTGTGGAGAAAACTCGATCTTATTGCTCGTTTTTTAAAATTTCAGCTTCGATGCCAACAAATGATTTTTTTGTTTTAATTATCATTAATAATGCAATAAATTCTATTGATTCTTCTTCTCTTCTAAGTGCGATAATAACAACTTCCAATGTTTTCAATACATTAGTTACAGCTATTAAGGCTTTTACGGCATCATCTCACCAAATTGTCAACAAGCGAAAACGAGCCATAAGGCTATCATACAGTGAGAATCTCACAACGATTGATGTGTTACTCAAACTCGATGAAAAAGATAATTATAAGAGAAAAAATACAAAACAGTCGCAACTTCCATCGATAAAAAAAAGAGTAACTGCGCTGTTCCCTGCTACGGAAAATTCTCTTGACTTTGAGCGCCGACATCAAATCTTTTAAGAAACAAAATTGCATAAGTCTTTCTAATTTTCTTAGTAAACAAAACGAAAAACAAAACGTAGATGCGAATCTTAACAATGATGTTGTCGAAATGGACAACTTCTCCTCAAATCAAAACATTGAAAGATTATATAATCTCTCGTCTACTATCTATTCACCAATCTCACTACACTTTCCTGCAATACTGATCCATTATCAAATGCTTCAATTTATTCCTATATAAACACAAACAATTTCATCAACTAATCTTCACCTCTTTTATCATGTAATCGTTGTTATTCAGTTATCAGTTCAGGTTTAGCTAACGTCATGTCGCATAGATCATGTTTGCCGATCGTCTGCTTGGAATGTCTACCCAATACGTTCATTCCAAATGAAACAAATTTTCCGTGTGAGTGTTGTTACCTCCAAGGCGGGCTTACTTGTACTCAACTTTGGTATTTTATTTCTTGTTTATTCTTTTAATTCACAATTTTTATCTAGGCTCGTATTTATAAGTGGTTAACAGTTTATTCGTGGTTTTATTGTCGAACCTCTATGTTTGCCAAAAGCGATGAAACTAGAATATAATTTGATAAATATTTCAAAATAGAACTAATATGTTCACTCTTTATTCATGAGTAATCTTGGCTATGAGAATTCTGCATTTACATAATTAATGGAAATCCTTCTACCTGATAGGTCTCGACGTGATAAATCTTTTTCTATCAAGAACGCCTCAAGATATCGTACAGATCTCTTAAAAGTTGCATTATGTCTAGCCCAGCTAAAATAACTGGAATAATTGATTTACCCCATATGAGGTAAATCAATGAAAATTTTTTTTTGAGTGCTCTCGGCAATTTAATTTGTGTGTATTTGCTTTTTAACTAGAATAATTGAAATTACTTTGAAAATGTAGAGAAATGTTTAGGCTTTCAAACGATCTAAAACCTTTCAAACTTGGATTTACAGAGTCTTTAAAAATAACGTTTTTTATGACTTAAGTAAAACTAGACAAAATTAGCTATAGTAATTGATTTACCCCAAACAGAGGTAAATCAAAGATTGAAGAGGTGGTCTTCTGAAAACCGGCGTAGATCCGCTCCTAAAAAGTATTTTGAAAAACTAAAAACATAGTCTTCTAGAGCTTTTTCTGCTCTACATAGTTGCTAGTGAAAATTTTTTTTTCCGATGAAAAATAGAAAAGTTATAAGAGAAAAAAGAAGACACTACTGAAAACCTAATGGATTTACCCCACCTTACTCTGTAATTAAAGAGAAATGATCAATGGCAGCTGCAATGACAGTATCAAATAAATCTTCTCTTATTAATTCATCACAACATTCATCACCAGTAATTAATCCAATAGAATCATTTTCTCCAACTTCATCATCAACAACACTTTCACCTGAATCATCGAATTCAATGTCATCACCAGATAAATCATTTGTATTAAATGAACACCACCACCAACAACAATCAATTCGTCTTGTTGATTATTTTGTGGTTTGTGGATTAGATAAATATCTTGATATTGAACCTTTATCCGAATTACCTTGTAAAAAACTAAAAAAAAAATGTTTCAGTAGGTGAACAAGTTTTAAATCCATTTCAATGTTCATATCGATGTCGTATATTATGTCATTATCCACATGAAGTTCCAAATAATCCATTTGATGAAGATGCGATTAGTCGTGTAAGAATTTTAATTTCAGAAAATATTTTTAATATTTTTTTTTTCTAAACAAATAGTCGTCAATGCCAGATGGTGTTTCTATTCGACTAAATTCTCTTGATCCCCGAACAACACATCCTTTTTTAATAACACGTCTTGATGGAACACGTTATTATGGTGTTGTATTAACATTTTTTGAACAAATAAATAATGATGATGAAATTATTTCTGAATGTTCATCATCAACAGCATTTATTTCTTTAAATCGTTTAATTGAAAATTATAATCGAACATGTCGACATCAACGTCGTTCATCATTATTAATTTATGCAAGCAAAACTATTTGTTTAATTGGTCCACAAGCACATTATTCAATATTTAAACGTATTTTAGAACTTCTTTATCGTATGACAATTGAACATGATTTATATATACCATCTCCATCATTATCACATTCAGCTCTTAAATTTAATGTTGGTGAAAGACAATTAACTGTTTGGCAACCAAGTATTCATGATAATGATTTACCTTTATTAGATTTTAATTTATTGGATTTTTTTTCTCGATTGGGCGTTGAAGGCGTTGTTGATCTTGTGACATGTGCTTTATTAGAACATCATATTATTCTGAAATCTTCAGGTCTTCATTTTTTTTAATTCTTCATTTGATAAAACGAATTTTTTTATTATGCTCGACAAAAACTCAAGTTCATAATAGCTGTTTATACGTATGGGCAAAATGGTCTCGATCTCGTCGTGACAAGTATTGGTAATATACGCTCTGACCATCGTTTTAATTAGGACATATGCCAGTCGATAGAGCTTAAAATCCTGAGTCTAATGGATCTCAGTGTAAGCCAATAGCTCAACAAAAGAAATGTTTGGAAAATGAAGTCAAACGTAGCTACTCTGCTACATCTTTTGAACTGACGAGGGCGACCAGGCATTTACCACAACTTTATCTAACGTCATTTTTCCGAACATCTATTTGCTTGAGTTTTTGACTCAGAGCGTATTTTACTAATACTCTGCCGGGATCAGGACCAAAATTGACTTGCTCCACCCGTGTTTAGCTGTCTATCAACAGTATCTAGGCAAAAGTTTTGGAGTGAACGGGAATCACACGTTCAGGTGTGTTTAGATGTTTGCTTACGTGCTTTTTGTATATTGTTATGTGTTTTCTTTTGCTAAATTTTCAAATTTAATCTTGTTTGGAACAACGTTTTTAAGAAGATATATCTGTCAAAATTTTATAATACAATATTTATGAACGAATGAAATACATACAAAAATAGATCAGTTGCTTAAATGATAACAACAAAATATAGCGACAATACCGTCTGAGAGTCGTGATGGAATTTAACGTCGAGTTTGAACTGTTATTTAATAGAAAGGAAACTATATGTTACAAGAACACTATTGTTTATCAACAATAGTTTTTTAAACTGAACATTAGTATCTACTAAAAATTTCGATCATGCTTTTGGCCTCAGCGTGTTTCAATTTCTGTTTTGGTTGGATTCAATCTCAATCAACTACCAAACGATTCACATATTGTTAGTCTTTATTGAATGATCGAAAACTAGATTAAAATCAAAACCAACATTTTTAGTCTCTATAGATGCCTACTTAGAAATTCTTTTTAGATGGTCTTATAAGCCTTCTTTTTTCGAAAGTTATATTAGCGAGAGTTCAGACGATACCAAAATATTTGACAAAAAAAAGTTGAAAGTGAAGACGTTTGCTCATACATAAATTTTATGATCTTCTTAAAATTCAGATCATAATTCATTAGTATAGTCTAAAATCCTCATAAAACAATCATAATTTCATGGAGAATATTCTTCTCTAGTTATTCTAATTTAATCAAGATTTTGTTCTGATTAATAAAACAAAAAATTGTAACTATTAAAATAATTAATATAGATTATACACGTTTAATGCTTGTTGCTGAATGTTTAACATCACTGTTATTTCCATTTCAATGGACACTACTTTATGTTTCAATTGTATTTACTGCTGCACTTGTATGTCTTGATGTACCTGTACCTGCTATAATGGGTCTTTGTATAAATAAATCGAATGTAAATTCCGATGGTAAAAATGTTGATGATGATGATAGATCTAGTGATACAAGCGATGAATTAACATTTGAAGTTCAACGATGTGTTGTTCATATTGATACTGGACATAATAAATTGCCTAATGATATGTCACGTTTTCCAGATCGAACTTGTTTTATAAATGAATTAAATAATATTTTATTACGATTTAATAATTATATTCTTAGTAATTTATCAAAAAAAAAAATCTTTTAAAACTAAACAAAAATATCAACAGAGTGAAGATTGGACACATATTTATGATGAAAATTTATTAAAAGAATCAAATTATGAACCAAGTCAAGCATTAGCAAGACTTGCAGCAATAGCTAAACGTGCTGGAATTGTTATTAATAATAATGATGATGGAAATAGTAATAGTGGACTATCATGTTTATTTAATGAATCTGAATTACACCGAATATCAGCGAATAATTGTTTACGTGCATCATTTATAAATCGTTTTGCCCAATTATTTAGTCAAATGGATGCATTTATATGTTATCCACCAGTGGGCAAATATTCTAATGTTGATCAATTGTTAGCACAACGAAGTACAACAAAAAATTTTGATCGAACTATGTTTATTGCTGATCAATCAAAACCACATGTGCCTTTTTTACTTGCATTTATGGAAACACAATCATTTGTTTCATTTGTTGATAGTAAAATTGCATCAAAATTTAATGAAGATAATCATCTTTTTGGTTTAACTAATAAACATTTACAAGTAAAAAAATTGGTTTTTTTTTTAATTAAATTCTTTCATATGAATTTATTTTTATTTTTTGTATTCAAAGTATTTTTCTGATCATATTCGTTTATATCGTGATCGTCGTGATTTAACTTATCAATATTGTCCATCAATTGATTCAATTGATGAAGAAACTCGTCGTCGTTTTACTTCACCTTTTCCATCTTCATTAATTGTAATGAATGCACCATTAGTTCGCCCACTTGATAATTCATTTTCTACATCGAATAATTCTTATTTATTTGAAAATCTTAATGGAAGTTTACTTGAATCAACAACATCCATAGATATATCTTCATCTTTTATCTAGTGGAATTTCAAAAAGAAATTCTCGTTTAACTCGATCATTTCAAACAAAACATCCACGATGACGTATTACAAGAATAAAAAAACAACAAACAGTTGCTTCTAATGAACATCCACAAACTGTTGTTCTTCTTGAAAATAATGTTGTTTTTCAACAATTACTTAAAGAATGTACTACTAAAGTAAATAATAAAAATATATTTTGTAAAAAAGTCTTCTTTCTTTCGTTATTTGTTAAGACAAAACGAATGGTTATTGAAAAAATGGAAGATATTATTGAAGATTCATCATCAATGGTTAATTTAGAAGAAAATGTTTTAATAGCAGGTTTTGGTGATTTACTTGAACGTACTTGGTCTCATGGTGTTCATCATAAGCCAAATGGAAAATCTGCTTTATGGAATCATATTAAATATTATGTTAAACTTATAAATTATGAATCAACACAAATGTCTCATGCTGGTCTTCCAGTAACATTGAATAAAGATGAAAATTCAGGTACAAATTTGTTTTTTCTTAAAATTTAAATGGAATTTTTCATTTCGCTGTTGTTTGGTGTTTAATGAGAAAACAATTAGTAAATCGTAGTTCATCAGCTAGTCGATCTCAATCTCCCAGTGGTCATCATAAGAAATATACTTTCTTGTTTTATTTTGTTAACTTTATTTTTCTGTGTATTTATTAGGTTCTCATACTCTTTCACGTCCTCAAATGAGCCTACATCAAGTACGTTCATCACCTCTATTAGCAATGGCAACTTCAGCATTCAATCTTGTTCCATCCGATAATATGATGATAACTAATCAATCGAATACATCTCTAGCACATGATTTTCATTCTATTGAATTATGTTTTGGACATAATCCAGTGTCTGTTTCAGCATCTGAAATTGGTTTTGCTCGTGTATTTGTTCGTTTGGCACTTGAACGTCGTCTTTTATCTCGTCTTTTATCTCGTCTTTTATCTGAATTATTTTCTCAAGTGATCTTTTACAAGCTTTATATAAACGTGAAGCTTTTTTACGTAACCGATGATGGAGATTTAAGAAAACAATTTTTAGCTCATATTGAATCGCTTCAATTACTTGATTATAAATGTTTTTCAAATTCTTATTCAGATATTGATATTATTTATCATGTTATTATTGTTCCTACCAGAGCACGAGCAGCAAGAATTTCTAGTACAACAACTGCTAATCCATATATTGCATTAGCTGGTATTTTGGGATCAACAAAAGTTATACCATTACCATCAAAAAATACACTTGAAATTAAATTCAAAGTAAAATCTGAATTTTATATGAAATAGAATGAAAAACAAAAGTTCATGATGATTTTTATTTTTTTGTTTTGTTTAGCACAAAAATTTGGGTCAATTAACAACACTTCGAATAGGTCATGATAATACTGGTTTAATGCCTCGATGGAATATTGATCATGTTCTTGTTCGAAATCAATTAACAAACAATGTTTATCGGTTTGTTACTTTTAATCTTTTCTAACTATTGTTTTTTTAATTTTCATTTCAAAAAATAGATTTCCATGTGGACAATGGTTAGGTAAAAGTATTGATGATGATAGTTTAGAGCGACTTCTTTTTATTGATTCGACATATTCATGTGAAATGAATGATAATAATACTAATGGTTTATTCGATTCTGGTTCACCATCTCAATTAATGACAACAAGTTTCATAAGTGGTGGATCTCAAGTAAATTTATCAGCTTCTGTACGATCACGATCACCTAGTTTACGACGTGTCAATGATCAAAGTAAGATATTTTCTCAGTAATTCTATTTTAATTCATGACATTATTAATGTCATATGAACGTCCCCTACAGATTTTGTCTTCAGTTGGCTCACGGAAAATTTTTATCATCGTAAGATTTGCATGAAATAATGATTTTTTCTTTTTTTTGTACTTTTTTTTCTTTGACATCCCAGCACTACCGCTGCTATTGATCTAACAATAATTTTTTTTCCTCTTCTGATCGATCATGTATAATTTGATTCTGTTTATGATTTAGAAAATCAATCAAATCAACAAGCTGATGATATTTATGAATTGTTAGATCGATCAATTAATCAATTAGTTAAATATTTTGATGAACCTGAAAACAAAAAGTAATTTAAATAAAGCTTTTTATTTTCAAAAAATTTCTACTAAAAATTATTTAGAGAGGATTAATAACACCAATTTTATGTGGTGAAGATGGTCTTGTTAATGCATTAGAAAAAACTCTTTCCTATGGTTTAAAAAAATCAACTGGTAATGTTCCATTTTTTGGTGGTGGACGAAAACGATATGTTTGGGACTTCTTAAGTACAACATTTAGTTCTTTACTTTTTTCTTTTTGTAATATTTTTCTATTCAGTTAAAGTTTGTGATGAATATGATGGACGTCGATCCCAATGGCAACTTACTAAATTAGAAAAAAACTGTTATTTGTTATATAAATGGAGTTCGATCAATTGAAAAAGGTCTTTCTACATTTGGTAAAGATGGTCGCTTTCAAAGTTGGTGATGTTTAGCTTGCAAGTATGTCTTGAACTATTGTTTGTTTTATTTTATCATTATTTAATATAATATTTTAGACTTCATTTACTATCAGATTGGTTTCAATTATTAAGTCAATGCATTGATGCATGTCTACAACAATTCTATGATCCATTAAATAATTGTTTCCGACAAGAGAAACTTAATCAATTTATTATCAATATTTTAGAGCCTGTTAAAGATTTTGATTTCGCTCATTTGGAACCGGCATTACTCAAAGGACTTGTTGGTGTTTAAAATATTCGTGTATATAAATATAGTCTGAACTATTTTTATTGTGCTTCTCGGTATGTCAAGTCGAACAAACAGTGAAATGCACAAAACCGAATCGGCCTTAATCTTTGCAATAAATATTTATTTTCTTCCTTTTTGTTTTTTTTTTCTTGTTCTTTGTCTATTCTTATTGTCTAAATATAATGTGAAACTGTTTTATCTGCACTTCTTTGTTTAAAACTAAACGAATATGGTAATACTTGATTTGTTGATAGTAAAACAATTGAATTGAAATGTTTTGTCCAATTCGATGATGTTTTCAACATATCAAACATCTTGTACTTCATAAACTCAATCTATAACGTTTAAAAATGTTTCGTTTATCGATATTATTTACGCCTACTGAAGAGATATTGGATTATCAGCAAGATTATAAAGTTAATCTTATCATTCTTAATTTTTTTTCGTCACTCTTTTATATAAAGTAACTGATCATCGAACAGAAATATAAAAAGAATCTTTGTTTTTTCTTATCTTTCTTAGGATTTTATAGTAAATAAAGTTTCGTCATTTAATCAAATGCCGCTTTTCAATCATACTAAGTCACTATACAAGTAGTCATTGTATTCTCATAGTTTTATTTTATATGAATAAACCATGAACAAAAGAATGGCAGATTATTAAGAATTGAAATATCATCTGTATTTCTCTTTAAACTTTAAGTCCTTGATTAATGAAAAACAGAAACAATAAAACGAATCACATGTAAATATTGCGCATATGCAATCAATTGATGCGTATCATTTCGTGCTCGCGTTTAATTCGGTCAATATTATTTTCTTTTCTAGTGACGTCCTTTTTTTTCTCGGATCGATAACAAACGAAATAATCAGTTAGTTCGTCGTGGTTATAATTTTTCACGTCATACTACCTTATCAACGATTAGATCATAGTTTTTATCTGATCAATGGAACTTTATGCGAGCAAGCAATCGCAGAAATGCAGCCGTTTTTCGTTTGTAGTATTCATATAGATTGTTCACGCATCATGTTCCCAACTCGTTTGATTCTTGCTTTCGTCCATTATCATATCACATATAATTCTTCACGCAGTTTTTTTTTATGGAACGCGATCAATAACTTTTTCGTATGATACTATCAATATGTCGAGTTATGCGTCTGAATAGATGTCGTATGTCTGTTGCAGTCTATTTAATGCAATGCGAAGCACAGCATTTATGAAGATCGATGTTTCTATCAGTGCGAAGTAAAAGTCCGTACTTTGTGACGGGATGAAATTAAGAACGGATAATCAAAATTTCTTTCGAAAGCGAAAATAAAGTTTTGCAATTCTCTTCTATACAGAAGATCTCATTTATTTACTATTAGCCCGATCGAAAGACAAAATTTTGCAAGCTTTGTTTTTCGAATTGATTAAATCGAAAATAGCCAAGAAGAATTGATGCTAATCTTTTTATGCAAGCAGTTTTATGGGTTACACCTGTAACGACAACCGATAAAAGATAATGAATATACATAAATGATTAAACGATCAGTTCACAATATTCTTCAGAAACATGCTAAATAGTATTGACAACAGTTTTGTAGTAATACTAATCGTCATACATACTTTTCAATTTCTTTCAACTTGGATTGGTTGATTAAAACAGCTTTTTAAAAAGCACAATGTTTGTATTTTTTATGCAAGAGAAAGTCATCTATCATTTAAGTTTAGATATTGACACGAAAAACAACTAACACTATGTCCAATAGAACATTATCTTTATGTTACTGAGTGATGGATAGAAAAGTTAAATTAGTAAGAAAAAGAAAAGTTATATGCTCTATTAGCCTTGGTCAATGCTTGCTTCGAATCTTTGTCAAAATAATTGATTTTTTTTTAAAATTAGGCACTATGATGGAATAATAATCGATGAAAAAAAGTATGTTTCTGTGTATATTATTTAGAGTAAGAGAATGATAAGTTTATAACACTCGCACATCGATAAAAAGTCCCACACAACAAAAAAGAAAAGTATGCTAATAAAATGTATCAATGTTTTTGTTATTTATTTATTTATTTATTCGACTGCTGAAGCAATAACTTGCACAGCTGATCCATCTGTCAGCGTATTGTTAATTGCATGGTAATAGCTTGTGCTCCTGGTTATACTGTTGTACCACCTAATGCCATTTTTGTTCGAACAAGTACATCATATCCACCACGATAGACACCCGCTAAATAAAGTGCATGTGATGCTTTGCCTTCTAGAATTTTGTCTGATCGTTCACAAGCTTGCATTCCCATATAATTTATTATTTTCTTCAGACATTCTATAATAAACATAAGATGAAATGAAAAATAAAATATAATAATTTTATAATACCTTCAAGTGTTAGAATTAATAATGTATATGTATCTTCAAGTTCATTTTCAGCTCCAATTTCTTTCCATCAAGCAGACCAATTTGGTTTAAGTACTTTTTGTACATGATCACTAACTGTTATTTCAATATCTTCAAGCTAAAAACAAAAGACAAAACGCTATGACAAATAAATAATCGAAATTAATAAAAATACAAACCACAAATTCAATAAAAAAAAACAGAGGAATCAGTAGAATATTTACTTGAAAAACAATATAATGACTAAAAATATTTTTTATGCATCGTACAACATATTCAACTTCACTTTCAGTTAAATCAACTGGTAATGATGATTTGAATATTGGACCCAAATGAGCAAATTCTGGTATAGCAGATAATTGTTCTAAGAAATAGAAAAATGAATTTGACGAAAGAAATTATTTTTTTTTGAAACTTACCATCATAAGTATCTTCTCGATTTGTTTTCGATTCAATTCCTGGACGTGGAAGACCAACCCCAATACTAATATCTGTTATAAAAAAAAAAAATTTTATTTAAATAATAAAATCAAATTTGAATATCAAACCTTTAGGTTGTTCAACTGGAACTGCTTCAACAGGTACAGATCGAACATCAAATGGTTTTGTTGTTGGTTCAATTGTATAACGATGTAAAAGACGTTCAAGTGATGATAATGATACATTCATTGCTATATTAAAATATTTAATTTAATTTAATTTGTTATACTTTCAATTGAGAATATAAGCTGAATTAAGTGCTTTATCATTATGTTTTAATAATTGATAATACAAAGTAGCACGATCACGAACATCATCATCTTGATCGAGTGTTGTTTGTTGTAAAAGTACCAAAATATTTGGTAATAAATCTTCTGAAGCTGCACCAAATTTAGCTAATACACTTACAGCAGCTACACCATTAATTAATTAGAAATAAATAAATACAAAAAAAAAAAGAAAAGTGCTACCAGCTCGAACAGGTGCATTTTCAAGAATAACACGATTATAAATATAACGAATATATTTTGCTGGTGTTGTTGTACGTGGTCCTTCACGACCCAATAAATGAATAATACGAGTAGCTAATGATGTATGTTCACAATCTTCGATAAATTCATATAAATGAGCCAAACTTTTTAAATAAAATCCATATACAAAAAAAATTAAAATCCGATTATTTAGTTTTTACCTGCTTCTTTTGCTTCAGGATTTTCTTCAACAATTGAAATAATTGTATTAACAATTGCCTTTTTATATTCATAACCATCTTCTTCACGTAACATATTTGAAAGAAATGTCATTAATACAGTATGTTTACGTGGAAATTTTTGACATAATGATCTTTGAAATATTCAATTTAATGATAAGAAAAAAAATTTTTTTTTTTTTGTGATTATCTCTTACTTAATTGCATCAACAACAGCTGTTCTAAATTGATCTGATATTTCAGATAAAAATGATGAGATTTGTTTCATTAATCGATCAACACCTGCTTCATTACCCCGTCTACAAAAAAGAAAAACAAATTAAATTATTTAATTAAAATAAAAATACTTTAAGAAGAGTTGTTATAGCTAATGTTGCAATTGATCGATTTGAATCAGTAATTCATGTTTCAAGATCAACATTACAAGCTGTTACAGCTGCTGGATATTGAATAGCAACCTTTAAATTTCAAGAGAATTCTATATTTTTGTTATGTAAAATGTATAAAACAAACTTTATTAAGCGTTCGAACAGCTGCATAACGTAAAACAGGTTTAGATGATGAAATAAATAATTGAAGAACATTAACAGCTGAACTAAGTTCTTTTGGTGTAACACATTTAAGTGATACAATTGTTGATGCAGCTTCATAAATAACCATTTCATTTTTATGACGTAAACATGAATCAATAAAATCATACATTGGATTATCCGTTCTAAAAGTAAATTAATATTTTAATTATTTCTTTTGTTGATATGTTCTCTCTTTACCCTTCGCCTTCTTCATTTATAAGATTAGCTGTAATACGAATCTAAAGAAATAAAATTCAAATATTGAATTAATTATAAAAAAAATTGATATATTAACCAGAAAACAATATGCATATGGACTTCGAAGATCAGCTTTAGAAAATTTGACAATTAATTTTCTAATAGCATGTTTATCCGTTCGACGTATTTGATATAAAAGGCCAAGTGCATGATATTGTACCATTATATTATCATTATTAACAGCTTCTTGAACTTCATTAACCTATCGTTTAACTACTTCAGGACCTTGACGCATTAAATGAACTGATGATGTTAATGCAACTGATGGTAATTTATCAACAATTGCTTGTTTCATATATCGTTCAACACTTTGCATCATTGATGCCTATATAGTTAAATAAATATTTTTTTTTGTTTCGAATTATATTTAAATATACATACATCAGTAATTTTACATAAAGCTCGCATAGCTGGTCCACGATAAGAATCTTCTTTTTCAGTCATATCACGAGTTAAACTTGATGTTACAATAATAACATCATTTGCAACTGTTGACATTTCTTTTATTGATAAATAAATCATACGACGAAGCATCATCTTATTATAAATAAATACATAGTGATCAATTTCATTGTTTTTAGAAAATCCGAAATGAAATTAAAAAGAGATCGATTAGTATGATATAGAGATAAACGAGACAATTCATCAAGATAACGATCTTAAACTTTTCGATAACGATTAATAATTATTTCGATCTGTTTTATAGCAAAATTTTTCATAAAACTCTAATGAAAAATAAAATGATTCTTCTCAATCCAATGTAGAGATGTATATTGTAGAACTTGAACGATATCGTTGAATATGTTGTTTATATTTTACAAACTAATTCCTTAAATTGCTTAACAAATATATGTGTGTAACATGATCAAGTTGTCTAATATGAAAGTTCTCAAAAAAAAAAAAATATATCGTTCGATTTTCACCTAAGATTGTCGAAA